ATTTAACACTTACAAAATTTGAGAAACGTTCAGTCCTTGTGGCCATGGGCCTGCTAAAACTCCCTGATCTTAGACACACACTGGTAGATATAGATACCACTCTGTTGTGAATTAGTGGGTATAATGGGTTACCTGGCCGAACCTTTCCTGTAAATTAAATACACGAGACTGCCCGATGGTCAGAAAGAGTGGATAATGCAGCTTTGTCAAGTGCTGTTTCATACAAAATAGCAGGCCAAATGATGGGATTCGAAAGGACCCTTTTTTGCACGTTCTCAAGGTAGCAAGCAAGATACTTAGGCAAGTCAGCAAAGACAGCGGGGGCGTACTCTAGTATAGAGCGAATTAACGCGCAGTAGATATGAACAATATCAGCCGACGGAACTTTGCACTTGTTGAGTTGTTTCAGTGCATAAAGCCGTCTGTTGGCCTTCTTCACTATGTAGTCGAAGTGCACTGCCCAAGTGAGGTCCTCAGAAAGATGGACACCGGCGAGCTTAAATGTAGAGACCTATTCAATATCGGACCCACCAACCGCGATTGGGCGCGGAACGCAACTATTGTAGTGAAGAAGGTCAACAGTCATGGACTTGCATTTACGGGGGTTTAAGCGCATATTGTTGTTTTATACAACAGCGAAAACGTGGATATCATCAACTACTACAATAAGGATGGCGAATTGCGAGGTACAACTTCCAAAACTGCCAGATCATCCACGAATTTAATGTGGACGCCCCAACTTTGAACAAGGTCATTGACCACAACAGCAAACAACACAAGACCCAATTTTGTGCCCTGAGGAATGCCTCCATTTAGATATAAAGGAGCAGAAACTAAGACGCCAACGCGTGTGACCTGAGTCTTACCGGCATTATGTATTTTATGGTGCCTTTTAATTCGAAGATAGGGAAAAAATGCTGCCATCTATGAATGAGCCGCGTCCCAAATTTGAACTAAACCTTATTACTATTCATTCAAAATATTTATCTGATTCTGATTAGCTAAAAGCACACGTTTAATTCACCATAACCAGTACTTATAACCAAATTTGGAAGAGTTTTGTGTTTAGCGAGTAAACGACGTCAAAAATGCAGCGTTCTTGCAGTTTAATGCCCCGTTAACCGAGAAGACCTGGGGACGAGGTTGAGTTGTTTTGGTTGTGAACTTGAAAAATGGTGGGCATTTCACTCGTTTCAAGAGTAACAACTATAGCTGAAGCTAGGCGAAATAATAGCTAAAAAACATGACAAAAACTGCAAGAAGACAACTCGGAGGGCGACATCTGCTATTTGGAGAATATTTGCGGAGCTTGACAAACCTGAATGTATGCTATCGAGCCTGAACTTAACATCGATGCAGGTAAGCAGGTTTTAGCTATGTTTTTAAACTAGGAATTATTTTGAATGAATAATAAAGCAATTAATGAATTCTGCTTTCGTAGGATATGAAGAATTAAGCAGATCTCGGAGGGTTTTATCCACCTTGGCCTTCGGCCTCGGTGGATAATACCTTCCTCGATCTGCTTAATTCTTCACATCCTACTCAGCCTCATTCATTAATTGCTAAATATTAAACCCTAACCAAAGGTACCCCAAGCTCACGAGTAAGAATTACTGTCGCGTAACATTACTTTTATTTTGGCCGGTAGGTACCCTAGTATGTAACATTTTGCAGTATTTAAATGAATTTGTTGGTTTGCTGCGGCCTTCGTGCACTGCTTTCNCTATCGAGCCTGAACTTAACATCGATGCAGGTAAGCAGGTTTTAGCTATGTTTTTAAACTAGGAATTATTTTGAATGAATAATAAAGCAATTAATGAATTCTGCTTTCGTAGGATATGAAGAATTAAGCAGATCTCGGAGGGTTTTATCCACCTTGGCCTTCGGCCTCGGTGGATAACACCTTCCTCGATCTGCTTAATTCTTCACATCCTACTCAGCCTCATTCATTAATTGCTAAATATTAAACCCTAACCAAAGGTACCCCAAGCTCACGAGTAAGAATTACTGTCGCGTAACATTACTTTTATTTTGGCCGGTAGGTACCCTAGTATGTAACATTTTGCAGTATTTAAATGAATTTGTTGGTTTGCTGCGGCCTTCGTGCACTGCTTTCGGACTGGTTCAGAAGCACCGTGTCTCGAACCTAAGTTAAGCTCGACAAAAGTTCGACAGACTCTGTCGAACTTAACGCTTTTGGCGCACCGAACTAAAACTGCCGTACCAAATTGATTCAGACACCGCTGTTTTCCTGAACATGGCTTCACAGTTGTTAACAAAGTATATACTTGTAGTACAAGCTGTCAATCATCTTTCGCAGTAACATCATTTATGATATCACAAACGTGACTAATTGCGTCAAAAGCTTAAACTATGAGGCCTTTGCTCTGGAAAAGAGTATTTCTGCATTTTCCTTTTTATTTTTTTGCTATTTTTAACTCTAAGGGTTTGAACTGTAAAAGAGATGCTTATGTGCTTCGTTTTTTTACGAATACTTGGGCGGTGGGGAGCAGAAAAAAACAAAACAAAACAAAACAAAAAAAAGAAGCGACTTCTTCCACAGTATTTCACTAGACTGGCTGAACAACACACTTTTTGGCACAGAAATCGCCATAGGGCTTGGGCTTGCCCTCTTCCGCAATGCTTTTCGCTAAGCGAGACATGGATGTTAATTTTTCAGTTCATTATTAGAAACTTGGAACTGCTGCACGTGTACATGTCTTCAATTGCTTATTGGTCAAGTGTGTTGTCAAGTGTGGTGTAGACCATACTTGGCGATAATCTTCGGCTTCTTTGAACTACGAACGTTTCCGTGGTCACCACGTAAAGTTGAAGTAGGTACATTTACCCCTTGACACTCAAAGTACGTTCCAAGTACTCTTAGACTAGCTAAGACTTGAGAGTTCTAGTGTGAAGCCAATAATTGTTAAAACGTCTTGTCATCGAAACGAATACAAACGTCTTTTTAAGTGAAAACCAACAAATCTTTTTGTTCCGTCGTGCGTTTTGATCATTCTCATCATGAAGTCACACCATGGCAACCGCATCAACTACTTTTCAGAAAAAAAGGCACTTGCTTGAAACGTCTCTAAATAAGCTTGGTTTGTAATTAATATAACTTTAACAAGTATTCATCTTCCGGAATATTATACATTTGGAGTCAACAAAGGAGGGAATGGAGAAGTCCCTCACATTTTAAAGTTCTCTCACCTTTTTTTTATGATATGGCGGATCTCACATTGTGTGGTTTATGTACTATTACATACATTGTGCATGTAGATGGGTACGATACTAGGAAAAACGAATGTAATTATGTTTTTGAAAGGCTTCTAAGACATCATACTGGTTCTTTGGGAAAAGATCAAGGTATGAAATTTGAATGCAACGCAATTATAGTCGCAAAAGTTAATTCTAACTGATCTAGAAACAAAACTTTCTCTAAATAAGATCCTACAAAACAACCAAAAATCGCTTATCAATTTTAAAAAAAGTACATATAAAAAATAAAATTGCCATAATACTGATAGATTATGATAGTAAAGTACATATGTAAATGTTGAACAAGATTGCTGCTTTATTTTAACGAGGCTATTTTCATATCTTTCTGCTGTGGCAAAAGTTTATTCATTCATTATTTATTCACCTAGCTGATAGTCAATCTGTCCGTATTGAGGTACACTCAGCTGGAAAGGAAATGAACACTTAAGATAGAATTTCCTAAGGACAATACATCAAAAATTCAGCCTTTAAAAAAAGGAAACAACAACAGCAATTCTATTGCACTTATAACTGCAAAGATTACTGTTATTTATACATTTATATATATATTTTTTATTTTTTTACATCTTAGTTTTCCAGCATGCACAATAATCACTTTTTTGCTACATCTATCTTCTCACCTGGAAATACGTTCTCTTTAAAGTAATTAGCATGTAGGTTAACAACTTACAGTTTTAGATCATCAATGATTTAGGGGGCAAATGCCGCATGCTAAAAACAATGTTATTTTGTTAATTGCTCTTACTAGAGGGAAAAAAAATCCTGATTGCAGTGTTTTGCAGTATTAAGAAAAAGAAGCACTTTCTAAAAAACCGATTCAGACTGTGATTGAGTTATTGAAATTTCCCAAAGCTTAAGAAGACAACCATCAATGTAAGTATAAAATTGATTTTATTCGGATTTTTTGAAGAAAAGTTGATTTTATGTAGAAAATGCAGGAAAAATGATCGCAAAATAATGTAAAGGGAAAAAAGATCTTCTTCAACATTCCAGTCAATTGCAAAACTGACTGCCACCGAAGCATTTAACTGAATTGAGCATATCTTCGAGGATGAAACAAAAGAGTTTACACCGCGTTCGGTTACTGTGTGTGCCATCGTGACCAACGAAATTGGTCGAGCAGTCAAGAAAGGCATAACTGTCAAAAAGAGCAAAAATAATAATACCTTCAAAAACGACACCTTTTAGCCACTTCAGGCAAAAACAAAAAAAGTCAAGTCAACTGTTTCGCTCTTTGCGAAGTAAATCTCCGACCATAACTCGCTTTACTGGACTTGGGAAGTACACAACAAACGGGCAGTTAAACGTTTCGCAGTGTTCTTTTGGGACAGCCCGTTTGAAAAAAAAAAACGTTTTCAGCGTTTATTTGTTGGTTAGAGTTCCTAATAGAGCACTCTTTCGCCGGATTGTGATTGCGCATCATCAATTCTAGATTTATCATTCTACTTCTCCTGCAAAGTTTGTCAAAATGGCGAAATCGGGAAAGGTCGCCGCAGTTCTCAGTCAAATGAACAATTCAGATGATAGGAATAAAAAGCACTATTTGTTTTAAAAACGGCGGAAACTGTAGCCTGATCTTGCAATGCAGGCTATTTTGACGATGATATAAGCTTATCCCATTTAGCTTAAGCTAATGGCACTGAAATGCGTTTCAAATAAATTTAGAGAAAAAGAAGAAATGTGCTTTGCGGCTATCAAGTATACAGGAAAAAGAAGATTTTTTCCGTATATAAGAACATCTTGTAATCAGATCTCTTACGTACGTTTTTCTTTTAAAGTGAAGTTGTATAAAGAACGCCATTGTTATTTGGCATGTTAACAAATTTCTTGAGAGACTTTAAATTTGCGAGCACTTAAAGGGCAAAATTCGCGGTACGATCACTGTGCAAGGAAAGGAACCCATCGAGTGACTTTCGTCATTTTAACTAAGGCCTGCATGAGCTGTTTGAAACGGTTAGTGAGTCAAAACATCAAAAACCAGCATTTTGTTTCTAATAGAACACACACGCACACACACCAAAAAACCACAAGAATGTTGAACACGAACTTAGTTTAGTGTGGCACCACAGTTTAACAAACAATGTTATAAAATGTAGAGAAAACTATTAATTGTAAGACACGTGCCTTCTGGCACGTATTTGGAAACATTCGGTTGTTGGGTGCCCTTGTAGTTTGATATTTCATTGGTGTTTATATACTAGGCGACGTCAATCAATATGAATCGATATAACAAAGGGGTAGTCGGTATCAATCGATATCATTCACCAATTGTTATCCGGATCCATTTATCAATAAAAATCGAAGTCCAGTTTTTCGATTGTCAAAACACGATAACAGTCCATAGTAATCCATAGCGGACAATAACTATAGACATTATGTGGTGCAGATTTTCGGAATATAGCGTTGCTATTTGGTGAACAGCAGGAGACCGTCTTTAGTTTTTTTCAATAACAAAAACTGCGTTATCCGTTCGAAGTTTTCACCAAAGCCAAAGAAAAAAGTTACAAGTTCTTGCAAGGACTCGTAAGTGAAGGTGCAAACTTTTTTATATTTTTCTTGATCAGCAAGTCAGCCATGATACTATTACGAGGAACAGTGTATTCCATTCATGTTGCTTTTCTGGCTGTGTCGATTGAATTTCGAAAGAAATCCATTTTATACCAAAGAAGCAAAAACCTAAACTGATGGACCTCACGACTCAGCATAGCTGTGCAAATCGTTATCTCAATACAAAGAGATGCCACAGACTTTTTTTTACCGCATTTTTTCTTGTATCTGCACTTCCATATTTTAATATATTCTTATTTAAAATTCTCATTCATCAGGCCCCCCATTGATATCATCTCTGCTGAAAAAAAATGTTTCCCAATTCACAACAATTTCTTGTTTTATCTGAGACATATGTACCAATTGGAAAATAAGACACCGAGCAATATAAAAAATGGAAACCTTTCTTTTCCTCGCTGAGTCTTTTCTCCTAACTCCAAAAATATAAATTAGTAAAAATCTGCACCTACCATGAATATTTCACCACAAAGAAAGCAAAAAAAAAAAATGTACAGTAATATCTAACAATTATTCGCCGAAGGCGAAGTTAATATTGTTGAATAATCCCCGAGAACAAAGTCGAGGGGATTATTCAACAGTAGTATATACACATTCAGCGATCTTGGTAATTCCCGCTATCTGATTGGTTCGCTATCTCGGACTTTGACGTTATAATCACCGCGCTAGGCGGTAAATTTCTAGCAGAACAAAATCGCTGTCGTGAACAGGGTGTTTTGCAAAAGTTTCATAGTAAATATATTAGTAGTATTACTACCCAATTCTGAGAAGAAAAGTAGAGTTTTATTTGTTTCTGTGAACTCACCGTAAATGAGAAAGTTTTCTTTGTCGCTTCTTGCAAATGCTGTCAACAGCAGCTACGATCAAGGGGAGCGTTGTTTATCTCCAATATTCTTTGCCTTGTTAACTTGCTGGTATGTACAATTTTCGAAAATATTTGCCTTCCTCTTTTCTCCATAAATTAACTTCTATTTATAGGCAAATTGGTCTTGCGAGAAAATCCCGAAATCACAAAACAGTGACAAAGCGGCCTCGTTTTCCTCTGTAGTGGTAAACATAGCTTCGAGCGTACCAAAAGTCAGCTACAGTAAACCACTTCACAATAAATCACGCTGTTTAAACACCATGAAGTCTTTTCCTGCCTTCAAAGTCATCAGCACTTGGATATTCGTGTATTTTCAAAAGGATTTTACCATGAAACTTTGGTAAAACACCCAGTTCACGACAGCGATTCTGTTCTGCTTTATATTCAGAGCCTACCGTGGTGAATATAACGTCATAGTCCGAGATAGCTAACCAATCAGAATTAGCACTGCTGTAATCTAGTTAATATTTGTAAGTATTGCCATGTAAGTGTGTAAATTCGCTATTTTTTTTCCTTTTTATTCATTTATTTATTCCGTGTAATTGCGTAACATATTAAGTAATTTTGTCGTACTACCAATTCCCTTTTTATAGCTTTTCTCTGCAAGGCAATTGTGCGGATCCGGATATTATACCTGTATGGCTTGTTTATAGCCTGGATTTTTGCCATGATCGAGAAACTGGACGAAACAGCACACCAACGAATGAGAAGGATGCTAAAGGACCTAAGAAATGAAGTCGAATTTAAATATAACATGACAGACAATGAATTTAATAGTTTTGTCAAAATAGCCGCCGAAGAAATGAAGGCAAAAGAAGAACTGGACTGGAATTTTTTCAACAGCTGCAATTTCGTTGTCGCTACTCTTACCACGATAGGTAAACCACAGATAACGCATGGAAGTTATTTCTCTCTGTCAGCTTTTTTTAGTAAAGAGAGAAATACTAAATTATTGTAAGGTACCGTCAATGATGAAGGTTTCAAAACAGGAACTGAAATGTGATTAAATGTACATTGGGAATGGAAAAATCATTTTGTAATGATTACAAAAAGTTTCACTCCGTGATTTCAAAGATTCATTCAAAATCGGACACTGTCTGCAGCATCTTTTTTTGTTATTATTATTATTATTATTATTATTATTACTATTATTATTATTATTATTACTATTATTATTATTATTATTATTACTATTATTATTATTATTATTATTATTATTTAAACTCCATTTTGCGCAAATTATATATATATATTTACGGGTAATATGCAGCCTAATAATTAGTTTAAATAAAGTAGTAGCTACTCATGAAGTCACTGTGGGAACTATTAGCCATCGGTGTCAGATCCCTGGTTGTCAAAACTGAAACCATTCTTCTCAAGAGGACCGAGCCGAGGCATGTGAAATTGAAGACAATCTGTGTGTCGGGTTGCATAATTGTTTTCCAGCATCTCATGCTGGCGAGTTTGTCAACCTCCTTTACTGAAAACTAAAGTTTCATAGAGAGTTTTTACGCGTGGTTCATAACTTTGAGTACGATCGGTTTTGGTGACTATGTGCCTTTGCAAAAGTTTTCAAGAGAAAAAGATGTAGAAAAAAGGTGGAAATTGCTTCTTATATTATATATAGTTCTCTTTTCTCTGCCATATGTGATGAGCCTCAGTTTCTTTTCGTGTATTTTATCGCTCCTGGTAGATTCCATGGATCAAATTCAACAAATACGCGATCGCTGTATGAGTTGCTGTTCTACTTTCATTTCACTTATTTCTCGCTTCACTCGTAAGCCGGAGTCACGGAAAGCTCCGCTTACAGTTCATCTGGCTGTTGAATAAAATTCTAAAACATGTGACCAGCCGAATCACCTTCGGCGGGCGTTTATATCAGTAAAAAAAAGGTTCACCCCACTGCCCGAGCTAAGAGCTGAAAACAGCGCTTGCTTAGCGCTTGCTCTTTTGTAAGGAAATGTAGAAGAAGTTGGCTCGCCCATGGTAGCTCAGGTAGGCGAGTGACAACCACCAACGTGCCACAAAACAAAATTTTATATCCAAGCGACCAAGCGATATGTGTTACGTTGCTCAAAGTGGGTTGATCAATATACAGACCAATAGCTCAGTTTTGGCTTGGGATGATCTTTTTTACCTCCAAATGTAGGAAAAATGTACATATGTGCTTTTGCAATAGGCTATTTGCACGATGACGCCGTTTTCCCAGCTACTTTCTTGTACAAAAAAGGGATTTTGTTATTTTAACTTTGCTTTGATTATAAATTTAAATAAAAAGAAAAAAGGGTAGGACTCTGGGCGTAGTAGTAAAATTACGCCATAGTCAAAATGGCCTATCGTATAGTTATAAACAGATAATTGGTCATATGGTACAACATTACCTGCACACATGGCATGGCCACCAAAACAAAGTAAATAAGCATTTCATTTTCCTTGCCCCACAGCATCTCATGCTCACCAACAAGAGTAAGCAGTATCTGTTCAGCTGAGGGCCCATAATTAACCCTTTTCGAAGATATATCTAAATACGACAACTTGTTCTTAGAAAAATGCTAAAAGGAAAAATTAAAACCGCAAAAACCTAAGGAATTAGTAGGCTAATATAATAGTCTAAACCTACTGAAAACTGCCAAAAAGCTCGAGTTTACTCTTCCGTTTGCCAAACTTTTTTTGTACACAGAAAAGTTAGATCAGTTAGAGGTATCTTTGCCAAAAATCCCACTCTCAATTAGCACATAATTCGAAGTACCGGACAAATCTAAAGATATCGGGTAGGAGAATTTTTATGTGTCCTTTTTTAGTGTATTGTAACTTTTGTTGTGTAACTAAAGGAGTATTTTTTTAGTAAGGGGTATTTTTACTGGTTGCGCGTGAAAAATTCGAATCCCCTTCTTACAGAATTAAGTCGTTGTTAATTGAAACACACAAAATTTTATCTTGAACACAAAGCTTAAAACGTCGTGTTTACATCAAAGACTGGTCTCCCTCGTGTGGTTCTGGTGCTACGGTGGGTCTTATTTGTTCCAAAAATATTCGTCTCTCCACTCTCGGGGTTTGTACAGCATATGTACAGTAGCGATCCCAGGGGAGATACTCGCTCGTTAATGTAGTTGGAGAGACGTAGAGCTGTCCCACAGGCTTCACAGTCCCCATATCCCAAGGCCTCAGCCAGGACATTTTAATAATTCCACGACTCGACTCCCGCGAAGTGAAAAACCACTGCAGACTTCGGGATCACGCACATTTCTTTCATTTTCTTGTTTTTCGATAGCAAACTAGGAAGCTGTCAGCCGATCTGCGGCATTATTATTGTGAATAAAAGCTTTAGCTCTGCAAAAGAGGCCCTTGTTTGTTCTTTTTGCGCTAGTGGGAAGAACCGCCGCCATCTTGGATGTGACAATGTTATGCACAGAAGAGAGTGCGCAGTGCAAAACAAGGGAATTACCCTAAGGTGATAAAACAAAGGCGATTCTTTGAGACGGCTGCACGCGTATCACTTGCAAATGAATGCAGCCTTTAATGGTTTACCAGTAAGTTTTATTCAATTTTTCCTTTTAATTTTTTTCTATGACAACGCTTTTTCCAGTAGGTTATATCCAGTGTATTTTACCTGTGATCGCCAGCGCTTAGATATAGGCTATTACACACTCTCGTGTTTAATATATCATATGAAATAACTTCTCATTCAATATATTTATGCAATATATATTATAATATGAATATCATGTCCACTTTCATATGCAATATATACTATAATATGTTTAATAGGTGCATGGTTTGAACCCCGGAGTCATGTCAAATACGGAGATGGCATCGCGATTTCAATGCATGGCCTGTCAGGTCAAAAGCCCAAGTACAACTTGTTCTGACTCTGAAGATAACTGACATACAGGTTAATTCGAAACGCCAGCCACTGTCGACAGTAGTAGTCCTATTCAGTACTACGCCAATCTGAGCGAACATTCCACTTACAGCTGAACTAATAATATATTTTCAGTCACATTATTGCAAAAAAAAAGGAGGTACTAAAACTATATAAATATAATAACACAAAAAATGGATATATATATACTCTCTTTTTAGCATGTACTTTACTAGATCTTTCGTTTGATGATCAAATATAAGATCCTGCTTAAGAGCTACTTATGTCTTTTGAGAGCAACATTAACAAAGTCAAATTGCAGTATCATCCTTACAATGAGTTGATGTGCTTAAAAGCTTATTGAAATAGACCCTTTGGATAAGAACGAGAGCCTTTAAATAAAATATGAAATCAAAGCCTCTTCCATGACCATATCGTCAATAACAATCCAGCATGGGAGTGAAAGACGACGTTATTTTAAAACTTTCGAATAAGAACATTTGAATAAAAGGGCACAAACTAACTAGGAATGAGTTCAAATGAATGGATAGTCATAGCTAGTAGTAATCGTCCAATTATCGCCTACTTGTGTAAATATAGTGGAGTACATATTGTGCTTACTGCATCAGCTGAAACACAACATAGAAGGTGTATCTCTTAGCTACTTCTTACCGTGTATCATCTAAGTGATGGTAAAAAAAAAAAAAAGTTGAAAATAACAACAACAACAACAACAACAAAAGATCTACCTTAAAGAACTGGCTTTGGAGTCAATTAATTTATCAATCTCTAGTAATAATGGCTTCATGATAATAATGTACACTTGTTATTTAAACGACTAAATAAATTGAAATAAACTTGCGTGATGCTTTTACCAAAACAGAATGTTACTTAACAGCTGAAACGGTCACATACTGAAGAGAACCCCCACAGAGTCCAAAATAACTGAATTAAAAGTAAACAAGCACTATCAGGATACTAGGAAAACACCTTATTTGTGACTTTTTACATAGCTATTAAAAGCTCTTTATGTTAATCAGCACACAGCAAGTTTAAAAGGCTAGGCATTTGGAATTTTCCTTTAGTCGGATCGGTCATTTGCTCGAGAATGAAGACCCTTCTCCTGCTAGTTTTGGTTGGCTGTGTGCTAACTGTAGCACTAGCCTTTCCATCCGGGGAACTTCTTCGCACAAAGATTCAAGACAGTGGAGAGCTCGATAAAGCAGAAAGGTTAGTCACATGTACAAAGAGTTAATGTAGTTTTATGGCATATCATTTTTGGGAGGGGTTATACTGAAACACGCAGTGGAACTTCTATTATTTAATCTGCTGCGTATGTTAAATGATCAGGTTTTTCTCCCATAATTAAAGCTTAACTACATAGGTTGAGACTTTGAAACGTAATTTGTCTCACTGGAACTAAAAAATTGGCCCTTCTTAAATATAGCACTATGACCCAACATTAAAATTAACACCATTTAAAAATACTTATTTTTCTTCAGTGAACTCCTCTTGGGCACAAAAAATGTAGCGGGCAGAATTGACGCGGATAACACTGATACAGAAGAAAGTGACAGTGATGATAAATATGGTGATGCTGAATTGAACAGGTATGCTTAGTACGATTGAATTAGATGAAATTATACTTCTATTAAAAACACTGTTTACTCCAAAGTTCATTTTTTCCCTAACTCATAGTTTCATTAAAATGTGTAAAGTATCAAATGAATAACAGAACAGAATAACATTTGTGGCAGTAATAGTGAAATTGCACTTGTGAAGGTATATAGCTTATTCCTGTTCTAAGTAAAAGAAACGCGAAATTGAATGGTAATTTTGGGATTATTGTTCGCAACTCAAATTGACCATTTTTTTGTTTTTTTGTTTGTTTGGTGATCACTTTACAGTACGCTTGATCTTGATAAACATTGCTCATCCTGTGTGGGACAATTTTCACATATAAACGTAGTATACACGTTTGGCCTTGCTACTATGAGGCTCTCTGTATCNAAGAAAGTGACAGTGATGATAAATATGGTGATGCTGAATTGAACAGGTATGCTTAGTACGATTGAATTAGATGAAATTATACTTCTATTAAAAACACTGTTTACTCCAAAGTTCATTTTTTCCCTAACTCATAGTTTCATTAAAATGTGTAAAGTATCAAATGAATAACAGAACAGAATAACATTTGTGGCAGTAATAGTGAAATTGCACTTGTGAAGGTATATAGCTTATTCCTGTTCTAAGTAAAAGAAACGCGAAATTGAATGGTAATTTTGGGATTATTGTTCGCAACTCAAATTGACCATTTTTTTGTTTTTTTGTTTGTTTGGTGATCACTTTACAGTACGCTTGATCTTGATAAACATTGCTCATCCTGTGTGGGACAATTTTCACATATAAACGTAGTATACACGTTTGGCCTTGCTACTATGAGGCTCTCTGTATCACAATAGATAGAGCAACCACCTAGTGTTACTTAAAGAGGTCATGGACTTCAAATTCCTGTCAGGGACTCAAGATTTTTTCTTTGTCCCACGCTCGTCAATAGATTTTCGTAAAGGCCGACTTAAGTGAAAACATAGCAGTAAAAAAAAAATGTGTGCTAATATTGAAACAATCATTCGTGCACTACCATTCACTGAGTCAGTGTGAATTTTGTGTCTTTTAACGTAGGCTCGGAACCCTGTAGGGGACTCGTTAATAATTTTTTTTTTTTTTTTGTGACGGGCTCGGTAACTCGCATACAATGGAGTGACTTAACTGAAAACATCGCAGTAAAAGGGGACAAAATTATGCAGTGAATCGCAAATTGCCTACGGTAGGTGGCGTAAAATATTTGTCAAATGTTTCAAACATCTTGTTACTGAGCCTCTGAAAAGAAGACAAGAATAATGTTTTTGTTTTAGTAAATCAGAAAATCGTTTGGAAGACGATGGCAGCGAAGAAGACGAGCAAAGCGATTTGTTTGATGACGACAACGATGATTATGATGATGATGAAGAGGAAAGGTAAAACATTCATTCCCGTAAGAGTAACTAATCTCAATTTTCTCCGAACAATATCAATACATGTACATAACCACGAGAAAAAGTCAGTAATGAGAATATATAGTCAGATGATCACCAAAGGGATAACGCTTTGATATCAGATATCTTTTGACACATTCTCTCAACTATGCCCTGTAAGAAAATGTATACAGAGACCAGTGTTGAGCATTTGTTTTTTCGGATATTGGGGCTTAAAGGTTTTAAATGAGAAATTGTACAAATCATACATCTCTGCCTTTTTATGAAAGTCTTCGTTTTATAAGTGGATAAATTCCTTACAAATTCCCTACAATAAAATTAGCTAAAATAAAGCGGACGCAATTGACAAGATGACACTGGAAAAAAAGTAAATATAGTGACGCTGAAATGGACAAGTAACCTTTTAACGATTAAATTAACTAAAATTCTTTTAAGATAAAAAAAAATCAAATCCAATGTTGCACATTGCTCCTAACTTGTGAATGCATTCATGGTGCGTGAACCATATTCGCATTTCTTAATCAAGTGAAATTGCATTTCTGGGTATACGGTCTACCTTTTTCCAATCCTATTAGTAAAAGAAAAAGCAAAATTTGCGTTTTTTTTACGTTTTGGGGGATACATTACTCTGTGTTTTTTAATTTAAATTAACCATCTTTCTTTATCACATGATAGGGTACTTTCTCGGCATTGCTGATCCTTGCGGTATTTAGGACACTTGTCATGAACCTAGTTAATATATTTTGCCTTGCTTTCAATGATTCTCTTTGTATCACGTATAGATCAACCCGTTCGGAGTTCGGGCGATCATAGGTTCCACTTTTGTCGCGGACTTACTGAAGACTCTTCTTTGTTCTCCCCTCTTTACATGCTAAATATCACATCAAACGACTTCAGCAAAAGGTGCTTTTCACTCTAGCATCAGTGGTTAGAGCGTCCGAACTAGAACTCTGAGGGTCGTGTGTTCGAGTTCTCACGTAGAGCTCGCTCGGAAATTTTTTTCTGAGCTTTCTGGTGTTTGAATTCTCCTTCTTCTTTAATAGAAATAGGTCAGAGCTAATGAAACAGGTAGAAACAGGGACTATATAACAATTATTCACCGAAGTGGAGGTGGCTAGTACTGGTGGCTGGTACTGGACCGACAATGAGGTGAATAATTGTTTAAGTATATACTAAAACAGTGAGATAATTGAGCACAAAAATGATGATTTTTAACTCATTTACTCTTGCTAACGATTATAATTTTGGCGCGCGATGACCGAACGGCTGCTGTCGTCGCTGTTTCTTCCTGGCGACAAATAAAACTTTTGAAGGCGTTTGTTTAGCTCTTGCGGGGAAGTTTCTTTAAAAGGGGTTGTGAATTCTTTTTGTATTTAAAATCATTCTGTAAAAAAAGATTATTAAATTTAGTTTTAAGCTTATTTATGAACAAGTCAACTAAATAAAGCAACGCAAGACTTAAGCTTAATTTGCATTTGTAAACAAAAACCTTTTTCACCGGTTTTATCGATAAATTCAAGTCAAAAAGACAAAGTTTTACCGGCTAAAACTTCCAAACCGAACTTCGTCACCTTCTTCATGTATTTTGGGAATAGCTTGCTTGATTAGTTGTGAAATTTCTTAGTTTGTTACGGCAGCAAACTAGGAAGGCATTTTGCTCGCAACTTACGTGAGTTTGGCGTCGCTCGCTCGGAGGAACTGGAGGTGAATCAGTGAACAGTGCAGGATATTCACTGATTGAGTAGCCAATCAGAGCGCGCGAAAAACACTATTCACTGTTTTAGTATATACTTAAAGGAGTTGTCAGTAGTAAATTTTTGGCCTTTAAACAGAAAATGTTTGCTGAACGTTTAAACTTGTTCTTGATTCAGTGAATCAGAAAATGATTTAAACGATGATGACAGCGAAGACGACGACCAAGAAACTTTATTTGATGATGGTGACGTTGTTAACGATGATTTCGAAGAGGGAAGGTAAGACAATTTACCCCTGAATGTTTTGTCTTACTTCTGTATTGAAGAGAAAAATAGAAGAATGCATAACCGTCGGTGTTTGTTATCAGAAAATTACGTTCAGTGTATCAATGAGGTCTTCGTTCTCTAACAGTCTTAATTCCACACAAACCAGCTAAACTGCAACATTGTAGGGTGTTCTATCTTTGTACCTCAATTACTACCCTCAAAATTAGAATTCGTGAACGTTTGAGTAGATTATATATTATTTTTAACACTCAAAGCAAATTCATTACAGTGAATCTAATCTTGGTCCAAAAGACGAAGATGAATCTGATGAGGATGAAGAGAAGGGCAATGAAGACCCAAGAAATCTACAGCACTTTTATGAAGAGGGTGACACTTTATCTTCAAATCGAGACCCGATAAAAATTCGCTTTCGACGTATTGGCAGAGGCATTGGTCGTGTCATTCGAAGAGGAAAACGTATTGTGCGTCGAGTGGGCCGCATCATTCGAGGTGGAAAGCGTATTGTCGATCGCGCAAGACGTTTCGGAAGACGCGTCATTCGTGGTGGCAAACGCATCATTCGTGGTGTCAAACGTTTTGGACGAAGAATATTTCGCAGACGAGGGCGTCGTCGACGTCGACGTCGACGTCGACGTCGACGTCGTAGCCGTGGCTAGGTCATTAACGTGACCGTGAGGTGAGGTTATTTGTTACTACATTTAAGTCAATGATAATTTTTCTCATACAGGGACCTTTCAAAATTGAGCGAAAGAAATAGAAAGTATAAGTAAAAGTGGCAGAGGTTTTCTTTAATGAGGGAAAACAGAGAAAAATGTATGGAATTATAACCTAAAAATTTCTTGATCGAACCTTTCATCCGACTTCACCACCCTCCCGTTCCATGACGTTTTGTGGACCTCTAGATGCCTTGTGCTGGTTATTGAGAAGCGAACCTTTACTTTCTGGCCTGAAACAATGTGTTTTTACCTTTCTCTCTGGTTTTTTTTTTTTTTTTTTTTTTCAGCAGTGTAACAAGGATGTTCGATGAAAGCAGTGCCCTAACAGGAATTTCGGACCTTGTCATAATCTTCCTTTAGTTAACCTTCAAATTAAAGTAACCAGTTGAAAACATTAGTGTGGTTGAGATAACAATACATTATTAAACATTAACATTAACAATTCATTTCTTATATTCATATGCTAATTATAATCGATAATTGAATTAAAATCGTGTGAAATTTACAAACTGTGGTCTGATAGTTTAAATTTTAACTTGGCCAGCACTCACCTAAACGCCTACTCCTCTTCCATGGGCGCATGCGCATAAACCAGTCAATGCCATGAGGGAAAAACTGCGCCTTCGTACCATAGCAAGAAAAGAAGGGACTGCTGGAGTCGGGCTTGAAGGAAAATACACTATTTGCTAGGGAATGTTTATTACTAAAGAAATCTCTTGATTTTTTTATTTTTTAAATGAACACTAATGGGGAGCACAAAAGAAACGCAAGTACATATCTTGTTAACTCGTTTTATTTCTCCCCGCCTTCGTCTGATCACACAGACTTCATCAGAGAGTATAACAAGATAGAGCTAAGGAATAAACTTTATGCCTAATGATTAAGACAAAATCATTTTCCTGAAAGGATGTGAACAACAACACGTTACTAACGGAGGTTAAATTACGTCTTTGACGCAGGCTACTGTAACGTCCGCTCATTGATCTAAATTCAACAGAAGCTATCTTTTCTTGTCTTCCATTGTTTATCTTGTCATTTGAAAAACGAACCTTTCAGTAAACTTGTCGCTGGAAATCCCCACCCCTCCTCCCACCCCAAGGAGACGTGGGGCAAAAGAGAGAATTTGCAAGTGCTTAGATGAGTTACCAGCCCCCAGAGGGTGGGGCCTTAGTTCACTTTAGACAATTTATATTTTAGACGGGGAGTGGACTCTCGTCCGAAGTACATGGTCGATTGTTCAAAATGGCGGGTTCTGAAGGTGGGTTAAATGACTTTCTTTGATATGTATGAAGGCAAAAGACATGTAATGTTGACCCCAAAATTCCCATGAAAATCTTGTTCCACTACACCTTCCATTGCAAGATCCTAAAAACTTTACCAAAAACCTTTCCGATCGAAATGAAGCCTACTAAATGCCCAAGCAGCAAAAGAAAAAGAAATAGGCAAGAAAAGCAAAAGAAGAGGGGAGGAGAGAAAACGAAAGCTTGCTTTCTGCGTCTGCCCGAACTTCCAAAGCTAATATTTTGCACGTGGTTCAGTAACCAGCTTTGTGGTATAAGTTTATAGCGAGACAGGAAAACGATTCGACTACGCATTTTTCAGCAAAATTCTTAGTGTTAATAAGCCCCAGAAGTCATCAGGCAGTGAAAAGTAATACGCCTCCCCTGGGGGGGGGGGGGGGGGGGGGTTTTCTTTCTGTGGAATAAAAAATTAAAAAGAAAGGGGAAGAAATACCCTTTTTTTTTTTGTCATTTCCCATCCAATTTTTTTAAAAACTTTTTAAAATGTTAACAAAAAGAAGACACCCAAAAAGGCATGAAAATTTTTTTCCCCCCACGTAACATAAAAAGATTC